AGTAAAAAGGGGGGGGGGGGGGAAAACTGTGGGATGGGGAAAGTTTGTTTGTTGTTATGGGAAGGAGGAAAATAGGCAAACCTCTCCTGGATGGTAATTAACACACTCAGAATGAAAAGGTAGCAAACTAGCTTCTGGCTTGAGTACATCTTCTTCTCTGAAATCTGTCACCTCCTACATCAGTGATTCTTAAAGTGTAGTCCTAGGAACCCTGGGGGTCCCCCAAGACCTTCTCAGGGGTCCACAAAATCAAAATTATTTGCCAGCCAATGTTGAAAAATAATACAATATTAAAATCCCATCAAATGATTATGAGAAGCGGTAGCAGCAGTGAATGGATCAGTTTTAAATTTTAATATAGTATCAATAAATATAACCATTTTGTATTCTGTATTAGTTCATATACTAGTCTGGGTACATGCTTGGAATCATTTGGGCTAATCAGATACCCCAGTTCTGACAATATAACATTGTGGATTGAGAGTTTGCCAAAAAAAAAAAGCTAACTCTTTTCTCATCTTAATTAGGAAGGAAAAGATAGACAAAACAGATAGGAAAATATTCATGAGGTCTCGCTCTATTCTTCTACAGAGCTCAAAAATCAGTTACAGCTATGACTTTGAATGTGGATCAGTATTCTAAGTATGATGGCTGAGTATGCAACCACCCAGTATTTGCTAAAAAAAAAAAAAGTATTTTTTTAAACAATGCCAGATTTAGATTTGGAAAGCTACCTTTGTTAGTCTACCTCTCATTTGTATTACCATAGTGTTAGCAAATTCATAGTGACGTGTACTTTCACAGCAAATCTCACCCTTCAAGACATAACTTTAGCACACAAAAGTTCCTACCAACACAATGTTATTATTTATCAAAATATCAGAGGATTCCCCTGCTTTTAACACACGAGTCTGAAAATTTTTGCAGTCAATACACAGGAACACAATTTACATGCTTGCAGTCTGCCCTTGCTGAAAAACACCCAATGCAGCTTACAGCTTTGTAGAGCACCGAAAGGGCAGTCCATTCAGCTTACCCACAAGCCTCTTGGTTTGGGCTGCAAACTCTTTACTTTGTTCAGTCCATCTCTCCTTTTCACCAGCCAACCCACTAATAAGACTGGAAGCAGTCTGCATTTTATGCCTGCAGCGTTCTGCATCTTCAAGCAATGTCTGTTCAAAACAAAAATTCACATACACAATCGGGGAAGCAACTTGGGCCAAACACTACCAATAATAATGTTTGAAAAGATAGGTACAAAACCTATCTATTGTACGTCCAGCTAATATAAATATGCTATTATTTCTATTAACATTGTCAGTGTATCAGGATTTACTTCTTACAAACAGTTGGGACATAGATTTTACACTTATCAGAAGTCTGACAAAAGACATATAAGAGATGTCTACCATGAATCCAAATTTCAGATTAAGACAGACATTTGACCAAGTGTCCAATTCACATGCAGCTGCTGCTTTTTCAAAGTATTCCATTTTCCATAGGATGGATGGATGGATGGATGGATGGATGGATGGATGGATGGATGGATTTTTTAAATCCCACCTTTATTATTTTTATAAATAACTCAAGGCGGTGAACATACCTAATACTCCTTTCTCCTCCTCTTTTTATATTTTATATTTTTATATAATATAATATGCATTATATTATATATAATAATATAAATATATTTTATATTTATTTTATATTTTTATATTACATCCCAATTTTGAAAAACTTTTAAGGGAGGGGCGGTACATTCAGATTATTATCCCCCATCATTTCTGCCTGTCTCACCAAGTCTAGCAGGGAGGGCATGCTCCCTTCCATCAATCAATGCCATTTTCTTGGACCCTGGTGTTGTGCCTTCTCTGTGGCTGCACCTGCCCTGTTGAACAGCATCCCCCAGAGATCTAGATGGCCCCAACCCTATTAGCCTTTTGTAAGGCTCTGAAAACTTGGCCTGTCCCCCAGTCATTTGGGCCAGTTAGATGAGCAATTTTGGTGACATGGGTTTTTGTTTTGGGGGCTGTTGTTTTAACCAGGTACATGGGCAGAAGAAATAGCCTTGAGGAACAGGAAGAAGAGCCACAACCAAGACAACAATCAGATAAAAGAAATCTGAGTCCGGGCCAAAACTGTAACCAGAGAAAGCATCTCAGACAAGACCCTCCCTAGTTCCCACAATAAAGGGAGGGAGGGGGAAAGCGCATTCAGACTTGCAAGATTCTGTTATTATAACCTTGTAATAAAAGTAGTATTAGCATGCATGACTTTGGTTTCCTAGTCTGGTCTACCTTGAAGGGCTCACTCCAGGGTACCATGGGTTATATACTGCAATAGTGGTTTTAATATTTGTATGCCACCCAGAGTCACTGCTATGAGCTGGGCAGCTTGACAGACAGACAGGCAGACAGACAGATTTTTATTAGAAAGATAACTTCTATTAGAAAGATAATTTCAGGAGCTAGATAACTGAACTGTCTTCCCAAATGGCAGGAAAAACAACTTTTCTTGCATCCTTGAATTACTCAACATGTGCACATTGTGGTAACATTATCTTTTGACAAACCAGCTCAAATGAATGGCTCCACAAAAGGACTGTATACCGGAAGTTACAATTTGGAAAATAGTCATCTCTGGATTTTACGACATGCCCTTCTGAGCGAACATCATACCTGTTTCTCCAACGTAGCCTTTTCATATTGAGCCTGCACAATATCCAGCTCAGCCTGCTTGGCATCCAATTCAGCTTGGGCTTTCTGTAGATCTAACATGGCTGTAGTCAGACGATTCTCCTGGACTGCCAGATTTGCCTTAAAATATCAACCCACAGAGTTTAAATAACAGAACTGCAACAGATATAAAACCATTTTCCTCACGGATGAGGAAAACCTATCCAGTAGGGTGAGAGGTACCAGAGACTCACTCCAAAGGATTTGTTTCAGCCAAAATCTGACATGACAAAGTCTCAGGCAGGCCCTATGAGAAATGCAGCCAAGCTCTAATCAGTTGAGGTTGAGTGAGGGACACAGAGTATGACTTTCAGAAACTTAGACCAAACAGTTTCTAATGAGGGGCATCCTTATAAACACATATGTGCACCATATAACAACAACCCCAATATCTTTGCTTCATATAGTTTTATTGCTGCAGGAATGTAATTATTGCTGTGATGACTAGCATATTTTAAGAGAGAAATTTTTTGAGCTCTAGTAGAAAGCTCACTCAGTTGGTTATTCCAGCAGGTGGTGGTTGGAAATGGAGGCCTAGGTACTTGAAGTCCTTAACATGCTCAATTGGTTTTATGTTGATTTCCCATTTAATGGGGTACTTAAATCACATTCTAGAGGAAATTGGGATGCTAAAGCAGCTGGGCATCTATGAAGGCCCACTTGGGTTACTATATGAAGCAAAGATCTTGGGTCAGGGTAAGATGGCCACATCATCTGCATACAAAAGGACTGAAATAGGATGGTGGGTGAGTATTAGGAGTGAAATTCTGGTTTAGAAAAAGCCACAATGATATCATTTATAAAGAAGGTGAACAATAGGAGGGCAAGGAGACAGCCCTGTTTTACTCCTCTGAGGATAGGGATAGGGGTGGTTAAATCACCATTAGAGTTGCCTCTAATCTGCACTAGAGTATTTTGATGTAACAGAATTATCAATCTGAGAAGGTGGCAATCAATGGTTGTTGCAGCTAACTTCCTCTATAGTCTCCCATGAGGAATTGAATCAAAGGCTGCCCTTAAATCAATAAAAGCAGCATGAAGGGTGCCTTTGGTAGGGCTAGAGTATTTTTTAACTAAATGGTGCAAGATTGTACATTGATCCATGGTGGAATATCTTAACCTAGAATTTGCTTGTTCAGAGGCCAAGATAGATAGATAGATAGATAGATAGATAGATAGATAGATAGAT